AGAGAGAGAGAGAGAGAGAGAGAGAGAGAGAGAGAGAGAACCCCCCCCCACCCCCACCCCCCAAAAACAAAACTTCTCTGTTCAAAGTTTTCTAAGGGGATTCGGGGAGATCTCGGCGAGCGCAGTCCAACCATGTTTTCAAAAAAATAAATAAATAAAATTGAGCCACTTTTTGGCCCAACCGGAATTCCGGTTGGACCACCGGGGGTCCAACCGGCCGGTTGTCGACACAGCCCTGTTTTGAACCAATTCCTCAGGGAAGGATTAACCATTGCTCGTTGCCAATCCTTTAATTCCTCCCTTAAAAAAATGTCTACGTCTATTACAGGGGCAAGCTTCTCAACATTGTCATCCTGTAGAGTCCACTGTTTCAGTTATCATGCAGATTCCTAAACTACTCCCTCCAAAAAAATATCGTGGTCATTTATGCTCTGTGAACTTTACTCAGCCACCTCCTTTAGTTTCTGCTATTTTCCCCTCATATAACCAAGTATCAGAGGTGGTCTTTTGTAACAGATTTTTCTTCTGCTCATTCACTATCTGTTGCAATTTTTGTAACGTTTCGTCATTTTCCTCCAATGTACTCTCTCCTCTCTTTCTAGCAACTTTCTACCATTTTATTAAACTCAGATCACATCTCTTGTATCACAAACACAGTACCTCCCACGTTACATCTACAACGTGCTCTCCCATTGACCCACAACCCGGATATCCTGAACAAATCCAACATAGGCCAATGCTCAGATGAGAATTGATATGTGCAATCTTTTGCTGTCAAGATGAATACAGTGTGTGCATGGGAAATTGTTGAGTGGACATATTTTGCCACGCTGCGCCGATCATCTGCCAAGATGTGCATGCGTGCTGACATTCCACAAAGCAATGCGATACTGATTCCTTTATTCTTTAGTCACACATTTTGCATTAAACCACCAGTACTTGGCCCAGCTATCAGCCGCCGAAAAAAAAATAGAGTAGAAAGTTACTAGAAACGTTTCTAGTTGGATGAATTCGGGCGCTCCCCCTGTAGTGGCCCGCATGTTTTGTAAAATTGTGGCCTGTATACAGGCACGACTTTAGGCAGTACTGGTGGTTTAATGGGAATCTTCCGTTCTGAGGCTTTGTTTCCTTCTCTGGTCCAGTCATTCATTTACAGGTACCGCGAGATAAGTCAAGAGCCACTGCCATCCTCTGACTCTTTGTGTGGCTGGATGGAAGTACAGTCGGATCTTCTGAATCGTCTCTTAGTCGATATCCTCTATTAACTGTGTATTCTTTTGTCATGACTTGTTACAGACTCCTCGTCTCGATGAAAGTAACCATCCCCACTGTATACCAGTACCCAGGCTGCACTTGACCCGGGCAATTGCCAAACCTGAAATTTTCAAATAGTTCAGGGAGCGGGAGGGTACTTGCTGCATCCCAAAAGAAGTGCAGCTTGGCGCTGTTACAAAGTGCCCAGGCTGCACGTGACCTGGACACTTTGCAAACCTAAAACCTAAACTAACGTACGTACGGTGTATACAAATACAATGTATGGGGTGCGTTATATTTGAATACGACGTACGTTCAAATTTCAGACTGCTACTTTTCAGGACTCTGGTACCAACGAAACCACTTAAAAAGGGGAAGGGAAAGTGCTTTACACACTGCCCTACTTTTGGTCATTTGTTATTTGGCGAGGGTACTTGCTGCATCCCTGTAGTGGGAATCAGCCTCATACAAAAGAGGCACGGATGTACTGGGTGTCCTTAAGACACAGTGCCCTAATTTTGGTCGTTTGTTATTTGGTGAGGGTACTTGGTGCATCCCAAAAGAAGTGCAGCCTGGGCACTTGACAAAACTTGGCCTGTAGTGGGGATCAGCCTCGTACAAAAGAGGCACGGATGTACTGGTCCTTAAGACGGTAGTCTAGCCCCACGTCCACATAAGATTGGATCCACCTGGGAGTGGTTCAGCAATGGGATGGTGTCATTGGGTTCTTAATAGAGGCACTCTTACCTCCCGTCCCCCTCATCACCCCCCCCTCCCTGAACGTTTTTTTACAGGTAAAGTGCTCAGGCTGCGCTTCTTTTGGGATGCAGCAAGTACCCTCACTAAATAACAAAAGACCAAAATTAGGGCACTCTGGAAAGCATGTTAGTTACTTGTGCAACTGGAGAAGTTTGCTGCAGAGCACATGGTAGTCTTATGGGCTCATTGTGCCCTTAGATTCAAGCACAGGCTGAATGGGAACGCTTCCCGCTTGTTGTTGGAATTTCAAACTCAGATGTGCTAGTCCAGAGAGAGATGTCGGCTGACACAGGTGACAGACTTGTTATTTTTCCCCACCTTTTGTGTCATGTGTCAATGAGAGTTTGGATAAGCTAAGTAGAGGCTTGGGATAGGGCCAGAACAAAAGGAAAACACCACGGCACAAAAGGGCAACATGCCCTTGAAAATGAACCGGAAAGAGAGGATGAAAAAGCAGTCATTTTTTGTTTTTGAAAGCTGAAAAGAAAGCTGGCCAGGCAACTGAAAATCGTCTAGCCAAGAGATGAAATTCCACAAGGTGCGGGACTCATTGTGGCTGGCACCGCCAGCCGTTTCGGTCCGGTAGCACCGAACCCCGCCGGCCCCCCGTGTTAGCCGCGGCACATCTTGGCAAATAGCTGGGAAAGGTACTGGCGGTTTAATTGTGCCACCTTGCCTGCCCCCAAAGCTCCTTTTTGGAATGCCTCCCGTATCTCTTTCCCTTCTGGCTTATCTGTTATCCATTCCTGTACCCTTTTCCATCGTGCCCTGTATTCTATCTCAAGCATGCCTCTGAAGTTCTCTTTGGCTTCCTTGATGGGAACTTGCTGCTGCTTTATAGTCACCTGGCATCTCTTCTTCCTAATTGTCCATAACAAGTACTGACGCAGTATCTGGTAAGTATTGTGCTCGAAGCCTGACCAGTCCGGAGGGGTCTGAGTCCCCAGCAAAAGATTCACTGCACTTTCGGGGAAAGGCGTCGGAGAGACCTTGTCCACAATGTCTTTCTCTTCGCCCATATCTGCTCTGCCCTGGTGCACTTCATCAAGCAACTGCGATACAGCTCCAAGGGTACCCGTGGGACACAGTCGGGATCTGCCAGATTGGGATAGATTGGAAGCTTGAGTGGTTGATCGTATACCTGGCACCCTCAGTAAATGAATGGCTGAATTGGTGTAGAAGCAGGAAAACGAGGACACCCCAGAAAGAATTATGGGTGGCTTGTAGAGATCAGGAACAAGAATCCTTCTCTTTTCTTTTCCTTTGGGGAAATAATAAACCCGAAATTTCTTATATTCTGAGTTTCACACCACATTTCTGACACCCTGATGTACGTGACATGAATGTCATCTATGTTATGTAACGTATGCATTTGTGTACACTCGGCTGCAGCCGTCATCGTAATGTCACAATCACTACGATCATAACAATGACATGGTTTCTGCATCCATGTGGGCAGAGGACTGTCCCTCCTTTCATGACTGCAGGCACCCTCCGCATCCAGACACTATACGTCCATTTGGGGGCCATGGCCGTTATACTGAATGCATGGTCCCATGTTTCCCTTCATGTTGGCCTGCAATCGACATCCCTTTTGTTGGGAGTGTTTGATGGACATGCTCAATGCCAGAATACGTGGCAACTGTTGTACTCGGAATGCTCAGCTAGGTCTTCCATGTCCTCACCTGTCTCATCCTTACAATGTATGTTCTCTCTGTCATCAAGGACAGACCGATTCTTGAGTCTTCTGCTCATCTTTTCCTATGCTTTCACATCTTCATGTCACACTCCTTACTTTCCCCTTACTCCTGGCTGTTTTCGTTTGCTTTCCCTTTATCTTCCTATACTTCGTCTTCTTTTCATGTTTTCTCTCTGTTTATCCCCTCCCCCTCTGCTCTGCCTCTTCTTCACAGCGTACAAGTGGGCCGTTGTCGCACAGGGGGATGCAGGCACCTTGCGCTCAACTTCATCAACGTGGCCAGCCTTGTACGTGAGAGGCGCAGTCAAGGGGGAACTTAAAGAAAGAAATGGTCGAATGAATGGTTTCAGTGTGCTCTTCATGTTTGTTTTGCAAAGTTCGCTCTGTTAGTTGATAGATATGTGACAATATATCTGGATGTGTGTGTGTGTATGTGTGTGCGTGTGTGTGTTTGTGGTGTGGGCTGTTGTGCCACATGGGGATGTAGGCAGCTTGCACTCAACTACATCAATGTGGCAAGCCTTGTATGTGAGGGGGGGAAGTTAAGGGGAGCTTAAAGAAGAAATGGTCAAAAGAATGGTTTCAGTGTGCTCTTCATGTTTGTTTCGCAAAGTGCGCTCTTTTAGTTGATAGACATGTGACAATATACTTGCATGTGTGTGTGCGTGTGTGTGTGCGTGTGTGTGTGTGTGTGGTGTTAATGATGGTGTTGTTGGGTGTGTTATGTGGTCTTTGAAGGTTCTATGTCCGCTCAAGAGAAGCTAAGGTTCCGCGAGGCAACTTCATGATTTATGCTGTGAGAAGCAGATGACTATTCTTTTCAGGCCCCTCTGAATTCTTTGCTTCATTTGTTAAGTACCTGTTGACCAGTAGTCCAAGTATTTTGTTTGGGTCATCTCGACATTTTCCCAAACCATTTACTTCGGCAGAAGGTCACAGGATGATGCTGGGGTTGGGTTGTGAGTACGGCCCAGAGTCCCAGAGTAAGAAAACGTGAATGTACTATGTAGTAAAGCTTACCGGCTCACTTCACGATGGGTGTATTGGTTAAGGCCTCACATCTCCACGGCAGAGGCTCAAGCGATTCCAGACATTCATACAGCTGCTGCAGCAAATCTGGTTCAGACGGCTTGGCCTGGTTCCCTCAATGTGCTGGCGCACACAACTTTTGGCATCATTTTACAAGTGAAGACGTGGTGGTACTGATCTTGTAGCGAATAGGCCTCTTGCCAAACACATCAGGGAAACCATCCCAATAGCATTGCACTGACTCGTGCTTTCTCAAGGATTCTGATGTTCAGCTACATATCAGATCCCTAGTGACCGTCTTTCCTCAAATAGAACGTGTACGCCGTACGGTAATTATCCCTGTATCTAGGTTGAAAGTTGCCCCAGATACAAGAATAATGACCATACGTTTCTATTATCAGGGGAAGGCGGCAGGTTCAAACAAGCACTGCAATTCCAGGGGATGCCCTTTCTTGTCGAGCTTGGCTCTTCACGTCAAGTTCTCTTCTATACTTATCTTCAACGTGGGCTGTGGTACTGAGTACGCAGGATACTTCTGATTGTGGACTTTTTGGTCATTGCATTTGCTTATCTGACAAATTGAATGCACGGCCATGGTTCAGTGCACAGCTGCCTGCTGTGAATTCACTGGCTGGCACGGCAGTTACGAGTTATAGGCAAAGCGGACAGGCTGCGTGAGGGGTCCACATAAGGTGTGGTTGTGGCTGCAAAGGCTGATTATCAGAACTTGGCATGCACATTGATAAGCACATGGGCATGATTGTGTTTCTTCTGGAGTTCCCGTGCGGCACAGATTCAAATTGTCTTTTCTTTTGGTTGCTGCCTGCTTTCTGCCACAGCGATCAAAACGAGGCCCGTGAAGCTAATTTGCGGCCTGAGTTCGCTGGCTCCAGTACCCAGACATGAAAAAAGGGGGGGNGGGGGGGGGGGGAGGGCAGAGAAATAGGTGGCATTCCAAGGGACCTTCCAGTCGGGAGCATCCTGAGGCCCACAAATATGCAGCAGAGAAGCAGTAAAGGGCAGCATTTTGAAGACCTTTGAAGTTGTCGGCAGCTAAAGCAAAGGCAGCATTTCAAAGGTCCTTCAAGTTGGCGGCATTTTGAAGGGACAAGGAGGTAACAGAGAGCAGTGAAGTTCACCTAGGGACACATTGAAGGAAGAGGGTCACAAAAAGCTGAGCTGGTGTATAGACACAAATAACGAAGTAGACGACGGTGACCACCATGTGCCATAGATTGGCAACAAGTACCATTTCCTGGGTGTTGCCTTGCACGCAATGGGGTTTCCTGGGTGTTGCCTTGTACGCAATGGGGCTGAAAACGCAATCTGGAATGCCGGTCATCTGCATTAGTAGCTCTTTTGCATCTGTGAGACTGTGAGATTACCAACCACAGCGCTTCTCCTTTTTGTCTCCTTCTCCTCCTCTTTATCCTCCTCCTCCTCCTCCTCCTGCTGCTGCTGCTGCCACTGCCGCTGCTAACTGTGCAATTGGAGGCTGTCATCCAGTCGTTGTCATGCTCTTAGCATCTCAAGGGATTTGGAGTATGGTTTTTGAACAGTTCTCATTTCTATAAACTGGTGCAAAGCTGCAAAGATCTCCCCCGTTTGAGGACTGACTATTCGGTAGCAGGCCTTGGCACAGGTTGTTCTTGCAGAAGTGATCTGAATGCGGTTTTCGGATTGAACTGATGTTAAAGCTGTTTGACGGTTGACGATTGGCTGAGGGACGTCAAGCAGCGTGCAGATTTCCATCTGCCGGTGGACAGTTGGTCAGTCTAATTGGTCTGTGAGAAATTCCACTTCAGGGTCTCAGAAGCTAGCCCTTCTTTTGTCTTCTCATTGACGGGCGTAAGTTACCTGCTGCTTACAATTTCACTTTGTTAAAGTTTGTTTGTTGTTTTTCAGATGTTTTCTGTGAAGGCATTCGCAGAGAATTGTGATTTCATCTGGAGGGTGCTGCAGATGGAGGACAGCAAGAAATTGAGGAAGCTGTGAAGGGTGCCGTGTGGTCAGGGTGTCTGGCTTCCCAGTGGCAAGCTATTCAGAGGGGGGAACCATGCCTCGGATGATGCCACCTTGCAGTTAACACAGGATGGATGGCAACTTCGCTGCTTTGAGCTGGAGCTCGAAATCAACTTCACAGGTAACGTTCATCATTTGGACCAGGTTCATGCTATAGGAACTCTAATTATTGCCAAGTGAAACACATACCCACATGTCTAGTGCAAGACATTTTATCAAGTTATTAATTTCCGTTGAAGCACATCCAAGTAAGAAGTTGTTTGCTGTATTTTGCCGCCAGCTGAGGATGCACATGTCTGTGTGATCTCAACCATATGAATCAAGGGTTCCAACACTGTCAAAAACTGTAGCAGGTGGCCAATAAATGAAAGCCCCATGGGCCATGGTACAGTGTCTGGCGTAGGTTCTGCTATTTACTGTTTCCAGTGGACCATACACATCGCCATTTTCAGATGTGGGCTGACAACCTGTAGTCTGGCTTCCACTAGCCAGGCCAGACCCAGATCATCGAGGCGAGGCTCCACTATTTACTCACTGGTTGGCTAGGTTCTCGTTCATTTTTTGGGGCACCCTAGGACCCAACTTCCCGCCCATTTCTTGCGAACATTCGTAATTTTGGGATACTTCCCACTCAGATTTTTGGCCAGGCACTGGCAGGCAGCCACCTTTTCACACATGCTATCTCCTGATTCCTGACATTAGGCCCAACGAGGTGGGTGCGTACCTGACTCTTATTTTCTTTTTGGCCTGACTCGTACAGGACAGGTGGCCAGTTGTCAAGGGCACACTTCGGTGCTTGTCTGGCTATTATTTGTGCAGCCACAATTGGTACACTTTGCATTGGTTGCATTAGTGTGTTCACTCCTTGTGTTTGCAGCACGCTTATTGGAGAGTGGCTGTGGCTTTTGCTCGATCACATGCCACTTCACTGCAAACGCTATGATGCCAGGGGTCGAGGTGTCTGTCGCCTTTTTCACTGGACAGTGGATACCACAGCCTAGCTGTTGTGATTCTGCTGAACCACCCCATCCTGCCCGATGGAAATCAGAGGTCACCTATCTGTCGCCTTTTTCGCTGGATACCGTGGCTTAGCTGGTGTGATTCTGCTGAACCATCCCATCCTGCCCGATGGAAATCAGAGGTTGCCTATCGTAGTGCCACATGCGGAATTCGATGAGGAAGTGAACCTCAGTGGGACTGGCAGACTAATCCATTTCCTTAAGAGCCCTGGCTTTCCCCATTCTGGAATCTGGACCGAATTGCTCCTGTTATGCAGCTTCTGCTTACCGGTGGCAGGTGCGCTGCAGAGGGAGGCCGTGTGTCATGTTCAACATGGCTCTGGGATGGTCCGAGGGGCGGCCCTATAGTTGCATTGTGCAACATTGGCAGGCATGGCAACATCCTGTTGGCATGCATACCGAGCGGCCTGCAATGAAACCTGCCAATGGGTATATTTTTGAGTCAAAGATATGAAAAACATGAAATGGAAATGGGAGTGGAAACAGGAATCGTTTGCTGATGCTGGCCCCCGTAAATCTGTTTGTCTGTTTCTTTCTTTTCTTTTGTGAAGGGAGGTGATAAAAAATACCCTTGCTTCTGGATGGGATGTGCCTTCCCAGTCCACTTTCTTAAGAATTTCCTGGCATGCCTTTTCAGAACTCAATGGCACCAGAGTTTCCTCGCTGGCTACTGAGGGCGCTAGGCCACCCTGACTGGGAAGCTCAGATGGAGGGGTTGTGTTTGGAGATTGTCCGCTGTCGGAACCCTAACCAAGTTTCCATGGGAAGGGCCTGAAAGATAGAGGAAAAACACAAGCAGACCGAGAAAAGACGGCCGGGGAGAGAGAGAGAGAGAGAGAGAGAGAG